TCCACCGACTTCCCCTTCATCAATAAGAATTTTTAACAAATATATAAAATCTATTATTTTTCTAATGCCAATACATATGTGTATTATAAAGTTAGGCCTATCAATGAATGGGTTTGGAGGTTAGCTATGGTGTGAGGGTATAGGAAATTGAACGTTTACAAAATTAACAATTCAACCTACTAGTATATAGGGACTCTAGAATTTTGATAGAAATAGTTAATAACGAAGCGTGTATAAAAAATTCGTATTTTGATTGTCTCATGATTCCAAAGCAATCTGCGGGAAACCTAATACTTCGGCCTACATCGAGGGTATGACTGAAAATTGAAATCTCAACGAGATCCGAGCCACGCTAGCAGACAAATTCCTCTCATCTATAAAAAAACAGTCATATTATTCTTTATCCAATCATAATAAGATATTCAAATAACTAATCAATTGTTAGTAATATGAAAAAAAAAGAAAAAGGTATCTCCTTATAGTGAAACTGAAAGTTGCTGATAGCTTGCGCCATCTATCAGAATAAATATCAACTATTCTCGTTGATTTTTTTAATTATTACAGAATTGGCCAATGCCCATTCTTGATTAATTAAGAACAACTAACCATGTAATTGTTTAGTTTCCCATTGTTAGTGATATGTTCAAAATATAAATTGAATAATTTAATATTGCTTTCAAACATTTAATCCTTTTCATGGGCTTCCAGAATATTCTCTATAACAAATATTACAAGTTGTTTATAAATAGACTGCTTAGGTTGTGAATATTATTTCAACATTTATATTTATATGAAAAATAGACACTTCGGCCAGTTGGAGTTTTTTTATTTTCTCAACATTTCAACAAAAATCTTTTGTCTTCGCCAGGAGAAGTAAATAAAATAAAACATTTGGCAAGGCGTTAGACGCCTTTTTTTATTTACTTCTCCTGACGAAGACAAAAGACTTTTGTTGAAACGTTGTGAAAATAAAAAAAACTCCAACTGGCCGAAGTGTCTATTTTTCATATAAATATGAATGCCGGCCAGGCAACCTCTATCTTTACGATGATTTCAACATGACACAAAGCGACATCTTTCTGTCAAAAATCTAAACATTTTTATAATACCGACAATTATTTTTGCAGTTTTATGAAAATATAATATTTTAAATATTTTTATTCTCAGTACCTAAGCATTTTTAAGGAATCAATAGAATTTTGCGAAATATATAAATATCTGAGATAAAATAATGGCCTCTTAGCATTCTTTCGCTTCTTTAAAAGATTAATTTTCTACCAGACGATAGTTTAAATTCGAAAATAACTAAGAGGAAGAGATTCCTAGATATAATTTGAATGCATATCAAACAAAATAAAAAGTGATAAGTATATTGTTTATTTAAAATATTTCTTTTTCATTAAAATCCAGCAAAGGTGAGTTTTCACATTATCAAAATTATGTCAAAAGATTCCATACGTTAGTAAATTTAAAATGGCGGATCCATAAAGTTTAACTCTTCAAACAAAACGGTGCTAAATTAAGTTCCAATTTTTCAAACAAACCAACATTTAGACGCTTGAGTTATATTAATAACAAAATTGACAAAAAAAATTCCTTTTTTCCCTATTAAAATCTGAAATGCCTGCCGGGTCTAATATGAAGGGTCTATTTGATGATGAGAAAATTGAATTAAGCACACAGCTAACTAAATTAAGGCGGGAGAATTTTGCTTAAAAACATCCGGCAACACTATCGATCTCCAATTACATAAAGTCTGCTATGCAAATTATTAAACTGATGCAGATGGAATTGAAGCAATTCGGATAGAAATTGGCAATTTTATTGTGCTCTAAACCTGTATTGAAATGGTTTGGCTTCTATTAAATAACGATTTTAGGTTACTTTGAGGTTTATTTAACGCAATTACGAAGACTTTATTGACATTAATATTTATTTTTACAATGTTATATATACAGCAATATTTGATATGAAATAATTAGGTTAATAAATAAAGACAAAATATATTTTTATTGTCGTTTTTCTTTAATATAATATTAAAATCTATCAATCACATTATTCATTGAATGCTATTTTTAGCAGAAATCATTTAATAATGGTACATTTTTATTTCTGTGGTGTTTTTTATTGGTTGACTCAAAATCTCAGACACCTCAATGGATAAGCCTTTATTTAGACAATACAGCAAAACTTCAGCACACCTTATATATATCTCCTTTTTTATTTACATAACCTTTGTTATGCAAATATAAATATTTACATATTTACGGAATTTTGCTTCTTTTAAATAAAAAACCAATCAGTGTATAGAATCACTAGAATTATAATTGCATTGATATATATATATTTATTATTTTGAAAATAGAGCAACACATAAATAGATTTTAAAAATAAAAATACATATATTGGATCAAAATATCATTCATTTTACCAATATTTCAGTTGGCTAAACGCCAACCTATTTCAAGTTATTATACATTATAAACAAGGTTGTTGACACACATTAATATAGGAAGTAGGTGAATAGCGTGGTAAGGTTCTTTATTTCGCACAACAAGCTTTCGGGAATCAGCTGCCCTTCATCAGGTATAATGCCTGATACCTGGCATTATACCTGATGAAGGGCAGCTGATGCCCGAAAGCTTGTTGTGCGAAATAAAGAACCTTACCACGCTATTCACCTACTTCCTGTTTTAATCTATTAAGCGTGGCTATACTATGACACATTAATATGTTATTATACCTTGAAAAAGGTTGACGTTCAGCCAACTGAAATATTGGTAAAATAAATTATATTTTGATCTAATATATGCCTTTTTAATTGAATATTTATTATTGAATTATAGAATTCAAGAAGTGTGTGTTTAATATATATATCGGAAAAGATATTAAATCATAGAGAGATAGATATAAGCAGAAATGACTGCCAGAGCTCCGGAATCTGGAATCTAGCCAATCCTGTGACAGAAATAGAGGGATGGGGTTAGTCACTGCATTCCTGGGGCAGACGGGATTTTGAGCGTCTGCTTCCTCACCTGTTCGTTTGCAAACATATTTATGGCTCTTCGTTTGATATTCCGCCGCTTCATATAACTTACCTTAAAAATCGTAAGTAAAGTTTTTTTTAACCATTCCATTTCTATTTTATTTTTCATTGACACTTTAATTTTATATAAATATTTCTCATTTTTTCAATAGTTGTGATCAAAAATTATTAGTAAATGAAACTTGATGCTTGCCACTATTCTACTCTCACATTTTTCTTTTTTTTTTTTGCTTTCGTTTTTAAAGTGCTAATATTGCAAAAAAAAAAGCGACATTCTTCAAATATAATTACTCCAAATAATCCATATTCAATTCATATTCCTAATACTGATTTAAATTTAATAAAATTAATGCATATATATCCAGATATTTTCATTATAGAAAACATTTGAAAAAGAAAGAATAAATAATATTTAGAGAGGTAAAGAGAGTTTTCTTTTAATTTTGAATCCGCAAGTTTTCGAGCAAATTTTTCGACGGGCATATACTTGGCATGGCATGTCTTTATAGTTTGCTGAAGAGCATTGCTCGAAGCAAATATTTGAATATAATTCTACTGTCCTATAAGCTTATGTCCATAGTTTACTTGAAAACCATTTCTAAGATTCCATCCTTCAGTGTAGCATATAAAAGCAGAATGATCCAATACAATATTAGAGCTCTGAGAAGCGGTCTGGTGGATTAAATTGGCGAAACCGCTGGGAGGGTTCACCACTGATGAGCCAAGCCCTCCCAATATATTTTTTCATCGCAGTAAGGACAGTAGAAGTTCGTTTTATGTATAAAAGAAACATTCGCGCTTTTAAATCCTTTTATTTTATATGTATAGATGGCGCGTTATTGCTTTGTGTTAATATACTTCTATATACAATATAAAAAGAAAAATATTTCAATTATTTCTGTACATTTCTGTTCATCTTTATATTGTAGATAGAAGTATTTGCCCGTTGAAGAATAGAAATTTTGCTCGAAAATTTGTGAAATCAAAAATTAAAAGAAACTACCTTATTTTTATTTATTGTTTCTTTTTCAAATAATTTCTAGGTAACTTACTATTGTTCACATAGAAAACATTTAAATTATTATAAATAATATTTTATTTCAAGCACAAAATATCTTTATTTTCCCTCACTTTTATAAATACTTTATCTGATTATCAGTTTACGCTTAAAAAAGCTTAGAAGAGTTGACTAAATTGTACATAATACAAATATAATATTTTCTTTTTTTGAAGGCTTTATAATTTGACTATTGCCGGTAATCTTATATATAAATTGTTATTCGTTAAATGTAAATAGAAAGCGTATATTAAAAGCGATATTAATAGATTGAATGCTATCAAATATTTTAAGTATTTTATACCAACAGAAATATTGATATTAATCATTATGAAATTACCATATACTATGTATGTTTGTATATAAATTTATATTTTTCTGAAAATAGATCAATCGATACCTAAATTATTAGATAATAAAAAGGCATATATTAGATTGAGTAAAAGATTTATTTGCCAATTTTAAGTTGGCTGAACGCCAACCTTTATCAAGGCATACAAAACGCGTCGGTACCAAAACTGGTTAAAATCGTTCTGAAAATAGAGCAATCCATACTTAAATCATTAGATAATAGAAAGGTATATATTGGCAAAGGATTCAGCCAACCGAAAGGCAAATAAATCCTTTATTCAATCCAATCCAATATATGCCTTTTTATTATCTAAAGAAATTTATATATAGGAAAACTAGCTGTATGCCTATTTGTGTAGTATTTACAAACACAAACGTACATTTATAATTTATGTAAAACGACATTTGAAAATTATCCCGCATGTGTTTCTTTTAAACGAAAAATCGAAATTTATTTTAAGGAGAAATAACGATTATTTATAACCTTAGGGAGGAAGTATGGAAGGATGAATTGTGAAGAGTAATGATAAACGGAAAAATAAAAGTATCCAGGGATGGGAACCCACACTGTTCCGCTTACCGGGCAGATGCCATGTCCACTAGGCTACCCTGGACATATTTTTCCGTTCGTAAATATTATATATTTATTTTTCCGTTCATCATTACTCTTCACAATTCATACCTCTATACTTCATCCCTAAGGTTAGAAATAATCGTTATTTCTCCTTAAAATAAATTTAGATTTTTCGTTTAAAAGAAACACGTGCGGGTTAATTTTCAAATGTCGTTTTACAATCATAAGCCGCATTATATTGTATTATTTATAATTTATATTTATTATTTAGATCTAACGAGAGTTTCCGCAGAAAGTATTATTTCAAGATAATTACAAATAATCCCCAGTTTTTGAGAGATAATCTGATACCACAGTAATATTAAAAATAAGTAGACTACAATTGCAGCCAATTAGTTAGGATTAAAAATCCCAAATGATTTAAATCTTACTATATCAATATTAAATAGCATGATAAATTATAATTGTGTGGAAATTGTAAATATATGGGAGACGCTTAGAGATCGCCATTAAAATCTTTTGGGAATTTAATGAGGGATTTGAAATCGGCTTATATGGGGATGGGAGATCAAGTGGTCATCGTTAGTTTGAATAAATTTTATGGAATAATATTGAGATTTAGTATATTTTTGTTTATATAATAATATCATATATTTAATATATATAAATTGTAGTTTTGAAATTAATTATTTAAAAAAAAATAAATACTCATATAAAGACTTTTATATTATAAACATAAAGACCTAAATATATATACTCTATAATAAGAAATTTAGACGCACAAAGAAGTTGTCAAATTTATATGAAAATAGGTATACAAAGACGTTTTAGCCAAACATGCAAATGTTGAAAATTGGTTGCTGATTTATGCAAATCAAGAATTACAGCGTCTGTGAACTGCTAATATAGCACGAGTATACTACACTCATTATTCGGAGCGGCACGAGCTGATTTTCAAAATTTTAGTTTTATTATTTTTTTATCAGTAAGCTTATTTATACTGTATCAATGCCTCACCAAAAGATTCGTGCTCATTAAGGACATATGCTAGAGTTTGAAATAGGTCGTACCATTGGATTGAAAGAGGCTGGTTGGTCAAATTGACTAATCTCGCGACATCTGTGTCTGCGGCTATTGACGATGTTGGCAAAAGTGGGTCAACAACGGAAGAATGCAACGTCAGGACGGCAGCGGTCGACCATAGGCAACAACAGAACGGGAGGACAGAGCGATTGTGAGAACGGCTGTCGCAGCACCGGATTCGACGTTATCTACCATCCAACGTGTGACCGGCACACAAGTGTCTAAAATTACCATCAACAGGCGACTGAAAGAGCGGAATCATAGAGCTCGCCGACCGTTACGATGCCCACCCCTCACACCCGTGCACCGACAAGTCCGACTACAGTAGTGTCGGGAGCGATCAACTTAGAACTGCGCTGACTGGGGACGTATAGTCTTTAGTGACGAGTCCTGTTTCTTACTGTGTCCTGACGACTGTCGCAAACGTGTCTGGAGACGTCCTGGGCAGCGTGTGGATCCTGAACTTATTTCCGAACAGCACACAGTTCCACAACAGGCCGTTATGTTCTGGAGTGCCATTTCATTTGATAGCAGGACCCCATTGGTAGTCATTCCTGGCACCCTGACAGCACAACGGTACGTAGATGACATTCTACGGCCTGTTTTGTTGCCGTTCCTCTCACATCACCCCGGGCTTACTTTTCAACAAGATAATGCCTGGCCACACAAGGCACGTGTTACTATGGATTGTCTTCAATCTTGTCAAACTCTTCCGTGGTCAGCAAGGTACCTGATCTTTCGCCTTAAGATCTGTTGGACACCAGCGCCGCCACTCAAGTATAACACGTGACCGGAAGGATGACGTGGCCCCCCCTCCTACTGACTGTAAAAAGTTTAGCCTAACGACGCTGTTGTTTGTTTACCTTCTACGGAGGATGTAACCTCTTTGTTTCCTCTCTTTCCCTTTTTAATCTTTATATAACCTATGCTTTAATAAATTAGTTAGTGCAAGGCTCTTGTCCTAAGTGTAACCAAGTACCTTGTCTACACCCCTACAAGAAAAGATTATGAGACTGATTGGAGCTGCCTGAAGCATTGAACGGTAAGCCTATTCTTTTGTTCTCTCTCCCCCCCTTCAGTGGACGCCATCTTATAATGGAAGCTAACGAAGGTTTAACGAAAATTACCAAGCTAAATGGATTAAACTATTCCTCATGGAGCTTCCAAATTAAGCTCATTCTGATGGACAATGACTTATGGTCAATTGTTGACCCAGGCGAAGTCAAACCCGAGGGAGGGGATGTTGGTCTAATCAACAAATTTAATGCGAGGCAGAATAAGGCTTTAGCAAAGATATGTCTCTCTATTGGTGAGGAGCAGCAGAACCATATCAGACATCTAAATTCCCCCAAAGAAGTTTAGGATGAATTACAAAGACTTTATGCACCCAGGGATAGCAAACACAGAATTCTCCAACTGCGTCGAAAGTTGTACTCCCAGATATTCTGTCAACATGCGAACATGAATGCCTATTTGGGAAGCATAAATCTAATAGTGAGTGAACTCACAGGTGTAGGGGATAAAATTGAAGACGGTGATCTAAGCATGCTAATTCTTTGTGGAATGCCCGAGGACTGGGATAATGTTATATCAACAATGTGTAACTTACCAGAGTCAGAGTTTACCAGTGCCAACATCAGACGTAAATTGTTAGCTGAGGCAGAGCGCCGGTATGCTACAACAAATGAAGGGATGGGTGCACTGTCAGTCAGGAACTCTAACAAGAAACAATTCCCTCATGAACATCAAGGTTCTAAAACTGTTAGAAAATGTTTCGGATGTGGGAAAACAGGGCATATTGAACGGGACTGTTTCAAACTGAAAAAGAATAACGGTAAACAACAGGAAAAGGGAGCGATACATCAACATCACGAAGCAAAGAACTTGAATGTGATGTATAATGCAGCAGTTGTATCAGAAGAGGATACGTGGGTAATTGACTCAGGTGCCACGCATCATATGACTCCGAACAGAAGGTATTTTTCCACGTTGAATGACGAGAATGTAGGACAAGTGACCACCATTGATGGTACATCACATTCAAACATAGGAAGAGGTAATGCTCAAGTAGATCTGATCAACAATTCTGGACAACTTAGAAGCATAGTTGCTCAGAATGCAATGTTCGTACCTGGGATCAGACATGGTGTACTCTCTGTTCTACAAATTGTGGAAAATGGTCATGAGGTTATCTTCGACAAGAAGGGATGTCATATCTACGACAATGATCATAACTTGATGATCAGAGCAGAGAAGAGAGGAAGGCTCTATCTCGTCAGGACTGCTCCGTCCAGATTTCCAGAATCAGGAGAATGTTCAAATTCCATTGCTCAAACCAACAATTTTCGTAAATTCCCACTAAATTTATGGCATCAGAGACTCATGCATATCAACTATGACACCATAGTAGACATGATGAAAAGAGAAGTTGACATTGGTTTGAACTGTCAGGCTGAAAAACCTGATAAGTGCTCTGATTGTATGATTGGAAAATCGACAAAAAGACCTTTCCTGAATTTGAGATCTACCAAGGAAACTCAGACACTAGCCCTTGTTCACTGTGATCTAATGGGACCGTTCAACATTGAGAGCTGGGGTGGATCAAGATTTGTCTTGACCATCATTGATGACGCATCAAGATATACAAGGGTATATTTCCTCAAAAGGAAGGGCGATACTCTAGAAAAATTCAAGGAATGGATGAAAGAAGCTGAAAATCAGACGGGATTTTCTCTCAAGAGGATCCGTATAGATAACGGACTAGAGTTCTGTTCATCTCCTTGGGATATTTTCACGAAGGCCCATGGTATAGTACATGAACGCACCATGGTCTACACACCTGAACAGAATGGTGTCGCCGAACGCATGAATAGGACTTTGCTGAACTTAGTGAGGAGTACTGCGAACAGTTGCAATCTGCCACCCGCCTCTTGGGCAGAGCTCACCAACACAGCAGCATACTTGAGAAATCGTGTTACAAACAGACACAATGAAGAGAAAACGCCTTTTGAATTGTGGTTTGGAAAAAGACCTGCTCTGCAACATCTGAGAGCAATCGGCTGCGAAATCTTTGTTCATGTTCCAAAACAAAGAAGGAATTCGAAGCTTCAGCCAAGAGCCACTAAAGGAATTCTCGTGGGTTATTCTCTACAGGGACGAGGTTGGAGAATCTGGATTCCTGAAAAACGCCAAGTGGTGGAATCTAGAAATTGTGTATTCAAAGAAGAAATACTCTATAAACAGCCCAAAAGAGAAAGGGATACTCTACCATCTGTCCATTTCTCCTCGAAAGAGGCCTCCTTTCAAGAAGAAAGTAATGCAGATCAACCAGTAGACCGAGAAACTGAAGAACTGATTGGAACTACAGGTGGAATAGATCAGCTATCTGAGACTCTCCCAGAGAACCTTAGAAGCCATCCAATGACACTCCGAAGTCATGGAAAGACGGCAGAATCTCCGGAAGAGGATAATAGTGGTGGACAGATAAATGCCACAAGTGCAGAGGACAATAACCCCACTTATGAAGAAGCCATGAACAGCCCTGAGGTAGCTAATTGGATAGAAGCCATTGAAGAAGAAAGGGAATCGCTCGAAAGACATGATGTATGGCAACTGCAAGAATTGCCGAAAGGTATCAAACCTTTAAAATGTAGATGGGTACTAAATAAGAAAATCAATGCAGTGGATGGCACCACTAGATACAAAGCACGTCTAGTCGCCAAAGGCTTCACTCAACGTAGAGGAATTGACTACAACGAAGTCTATACTCCTGTTTCCAGTTTTGAAACTATAAGGCTATTAACGGCGATAGCAACAGAAAAGGACTGGTTCATTGACCAATTCGACGTGAAGAGTGCTTATCTTCATGGGACACTCAATGAGACTATTTACATGGAACAACCTGAATGCTTCAAGAAACCAGGAGAAGAAAACTTGTTCTGCAAGCTTAAGAAATCA